CCCCCCCCCCCCCCCCCCCCATTAGCAGAAAGCGCTCCAGCAGGGGTGGTCAGCTGATGCCAACAATCTTGGTGCCAACAGGATACATAATAGTAGTAGAGTGTATAAAAAGTGGCTGAAACAGTAATTAACATCCGTTAGTTTGTATGTTTTGACATTCTCTGTTACAATTTGTCACATGGGAGCGACTATGATGGGCGTTGCTTGTTTATTTTTTTGTGAAAGAATAAAGCCTGGATTTCAGAAGACTCATTTATTCCAACAAAACTAAACCTAATTTGCTTTTCAGTTTATAAATGATGTTGTTTCTTTGGCTTTAATGGTCGTTTTGTGCCAGGGTTCTATAATCAAGTGTTCTGCTGATTTCAGTCAGTCAGTTGTTCAAAACCTTCAGCGCGCCCTTAAAAATATTTCCAAGGCACTCTCAAATCTCAAACTGGTGTTTAAAGGTGATACAACTTATATTACCTTGTTTGCAAAATCTAAAATTCTCAGCTAGTTTGATCCACATGCTTCTTACAATGCATTCAGACGTCTTCCCTTTTCACAATTTATGTTGTAGCCTTATGCTAAAATAGGTTGAATTATTTTCCCCCATCATCTGCACAACATCCCATAATGACAAAGCAAAAACAGGATTTTAGAATGTATTAATAAGAAAAATAGCATTACATACATTCACAATTTAGATCCTTCACTCGGTACTTGGTTGAAGCACCTTTGGCAGCGATTACAGCCTTAAGTCCTCTGGGCTCTGACACAACAAGCTTTGCACACATGGATATGGGGATTGTCTGCCAGTTCTGCAGATCATTTCAGGCTCTGTCAGGTTGGATCTCTCTTCAGAGATGTTTGATTGGGTTCAAATACAGGCTCTGGCTGGGCCACTGAAGGACATTCACAGAGTCATTTTGGCTGTGTGCTTTGCATTGTCCTGTTGGAAGGTCAACGTTCAACTCAGTCTGAGGTACCGAGCGCTCTGGACCAGGTTTTCCTTCAGAATATCTCTGTACTTTGCTCCGTTTAACTTTCCTTCAACTTTGACTAGTCCCAATCCTGAGAGCGCTTTCTTACAAACTCCAAGAAGGCTTTCATGTGTTCACTGGAGGGATCTCTGAAGCTCTTATCAAGGCCCGTGCCCCCTTATTGCTCAGTTTGGCTTGAGTCCTGATTGTTTCGAACATCTTTGATTTAATAATTATAGAGGCCACTGTGATTTTCGGAACTTTAAATGCAACAGAATATTTTGCAGCCTTCCCCAGATCTGTGCCACGACACAGTCTTGTCTCTGAGCTCAGCAGGCAGGTCCTGGGCCCTCATGGCTTAGTTTTTGGACTGATAGGATTTATCCACTGTGAGACCTTATAAAGACAGGTGTGTGCCTTTCCAAATCATCTCCCATCAATTGAATTTACCACAGGTGGACTCCAATCAAGGTGTAGAAACGTCTCAAAGGTGATCAAGATAAATGGGAGGCACCTGAGCTACATGTCAAGTGTCACAGCAAAGGGTTTGAACACTTGTGTCAATTTGATATTTCAGTTTTTTCTTTCTGATAAATTGGAAAACCCTGTTTTTGCTTTGTCATCATGTGGTATTGATTGTAGGTTGATGAGGGAAAACTGAATTTAAACGAGCAGCATAAGGCTGCAACATAACAAAAGGAAATTTATAAAAATGATATTGAATTGGCCTGCATTAGATCTCCAAGAATGGAGTTCCACAGTTAGCAACGGTCCGGTCACCTTTATTGACCAGTCGTGATTTTGGAACTGTTAATAGGGCAGTGGTCAGGCTCATAGGGAATCAGCAGAACGCAGATATAGAAAGGCTTTAAAGAACGAGCAGTACAATCTTAAAATCAATTCTAAAACTAACGTAAAGTAACCAGTGAAGAGCAGCAAGGATTGGTGTGATGTGGTCACTTCTCTTTGTGCAAGTTAAAAGCCTGGCAGCAGCTTCCGTATTAATTGCAGTCTTTGAATGTTTCGCCAGCTGATACCACAATAAAGTGCATCGCAGTAGTCAGGTCTGGAAGAGATAAAAGCGTGAATGACTTTTCTGCAAGTGAAAAAAATGGCCTGATTTTGCTTAGCTGTCTCAAGTGAGCAAAGCAGGATTGTACAACGTTGGTCACCTGAAAAAAATGTTTTCAAGAATTCAAGGAGCCGCGCGGTGAGTAATTGATATAAGTGTGCCTTTAACGTTAGTTGTTAGCTCAAGTTATTTTGCCAAACAGGACTGTGCTGCCCTCCGGCTGCTACATTTTTTAAGTTATAAGGTAGCATACATGGATTACATGGATTCATCAGAGTGTTGCTGCTAAAACTAGCTGCAGCTAAAAATGCAGACGAAAGCGCTGCGTGAACCAAAACAATGAGCTCAAAGACGCTAAAACGCAGACCTGAGAGGAACTGTAGTCAAGTGTTAATGTGGGTTCCTTGCGACGACTGACACATACTCGTAAAAACATTGGCCTGATACACATAATCTGATCAATTGTTAACATAAAACAAAATAATTCAAATAAACCAACAATGATTTACTTGTAATCTGAGTATTTTATTATTATGCTATTACAGACTTTCAATGGTGACGACTTCCTAGCTGAATTCATAAAAAGGAATTAATTCCAATACTTACAATGCCAGCTTAATCTATTAATTAGTTTGCAATGAGAAAAATGCAGGTGTACTTTTGCCCTTATATTTAAAGCTAATCGTTCTGTTGTATCCAGTGTTGGCATAAACTTAGCAAAGAGCCGATACAGCACTGAAATCGTTATCTTAAAAACATGGTACAGACATTTCAAGTTTAACTTCCAGCTAAGTTAACAGAGATAACAGGCCACAATAAAATCACAGAATTACATGACATGTCTGTCAAGAGTTAGAATAGTATCAATCTTCAGCAAGACATATACAGTAGATGTGGACCTTAATATGGAGTATTTTGTGGATAATATTTGAGTGTTTCTGTTCTGTTTTCCCAGAACTTAGTTGCACATTTACAGTCTTCTGCTATATATTGGTAATGAGGGGACATTTTCACTTGATGCAATACAAGGCAGCATTATTGAGACATGCAACATGAAGCCACAGAGAGGACAAGTGACACCTACTGTAGGACCTGAGAAAGACAAGTCATCAGCACAGTAACGGTTCTTAAAAGAAAGAATGCCAGTGCATCATCAGAAACACATGATATTACTGTGAAAACACTGGAACACTTTATCTGCAAGTCTATTACTTGAAAATCATGTTATTGGGAAATCCATTAATTAACCCAACTTGCATCAAGAAGATCAAATCAGGGTAATCTTATAAATGTCACTACATTGCCATGGATCCACATGCAGTTTGTTATCAACTAATTTGTGCAGAGAGAATAAATGGGTTGTTTTCAAACGTCCATTTTGCCAGTCACTGTCATTGTCATTGCTGTCTCACGCTGGACCCAGGGGAAAGTGTAAACTGCTGTGTGTCTCTTCTGATACACACATAGAGTGCAATGAGGATTCAAGCCATTCCCCCAAAATCCCGCTCCGGTGACTCAACAACTCAGTAGGAGTCACTAGTGCGCCGATGAGGATGTGATTACTTGATTCACGAGGCTAAGCCGAGCCATAAGCACCACTACCAGGCACTGAATCTAGGGCTGGGTGGGCAATCAGGGGGAGATCAAGTATGTTATTTCCATATGGCAACTCCAAAAAGTAAGAGAATTGAAAAAGAGTGTTTTTAAAATGACAGTTGTGCAGCCAATAGCATCTAAATGCAATACTAACAATGCTAACAATGCTAGCACAGCAACACAGCGGCTAAGTGCTTCAGGACACACATTCAGAGGGCCGAGACTCTACCTTTCATAAAGATGGCTTGTTTATCAGTCATACGTGTTTGAATTGCTTAAAATTAATTCATGAAATAAAAAATATAGACACATTTATATTTTCACTAAGCGCAAAGTCTTAATGATTATCTGAAAATGTCAGGGATATTGGAAAACATCTTTAGTATTGAGCAAAATTTGCTGCATGTCTCAGAAATCACTGATACTCGAACCCATGTGGTTATAAGGAACAGAAATCCTATGAACTATTTTTGATATGCAGGTCCATGCTGCTGTTTTCCGCTGTTCTCACATTGTACCAATCCTGTGAGGGCAATGAGGAAGCTTACAGTGCAATTCTCAAGGGGGGGGGGGGGGGGAGACATGTTGACCGCATGCGTCTGGTGGACTGTCAGAGCTACAGCAGTCTTTTCATGCGGCAGGTGTGCTTCTCTATGTGCATGGTGGCTCTGTCAGTGGAGCTGGTCAGGTCGTCCAGAACATCATCCTGCCGTTCCAGCTCGGTCTCTGCCTCCAGGGCAAGGTTCTTCAGCTGCATCAGCATCTGCACAAACACACACACACACACACACACACACGATCAAAAAATGTACACGCTCGTGGAGACGCACGCAGTCCTTGTTTGAATTACACACTAGCCCCCAGTGGCCATGGACAACTGAGGAGCAAGACACAAATAAAAGAAGATTAAATACTGAAACCTACAGAAAAAGCAGTTGCTGGGTGGAACATGTGGACCATATGTGAAGACGTGTAAAGACGGGGTCAGTCAGTCTGCAGATGAGGGAACTTTACGATTTAACACAAACCAGGATGCAATAACATCTACTCACGTGGCAGATATGATATTGTTCCACATTATGCAGTATATGAAGCTTGGGAAGATATTGAGAGAGAAATCTTAGCTTATCTCCTGGGCCCATTGAAATCATACAATACTGTTTGTTTTCAGCTCTGGTTTTAAGGAATACAGCGACTACATCTCCACGGTCCAACAACGGTGTATGTTATGGTTGATGGAACAACTTAAATACAAGGTGATGTGCCAAGCAAAATCTAATAAACACTCCCCCCAACCCCCACCACCATGGTTTCTAAACTAATATTACGCTATGCTACAAATGCTCTCACACACCCACCGACATTATGTCAGTTTTCACTGGCCGGACGTTGGAACTGAGCACAGAAACAGTTCCAGACAGCAGTTTGGAAAACAGATAGTGTGTCAACACACACATACCGAGGAACGACTGTATTTGCTCACTCAGGTCTGCGACTTTACTATGTCAGCGGGGAGAACATGACTGAAACACACATTGCAGTTAACATTCACAGTTTTAGTGTGTCATAGAAAAACACAGAAAATGAATATTTTTAGCTGCTGCTTATATGATGGTTCGAGGGCTTTAGTCATGTAGAAAGCCCTCAAATTAAACATTTAGGCTAGGACTGAAAAACACATGAGCTAAAATGCTAGTCTTGTGCAGGACTGTGAAATTTCAGGACTGTGAATTATCAGAAAAAAATACAGCACATGAAACCCACGAGTGAGTAAACCAGTTTGTGCTGTTAGCAAATTAGTCATTTCCATCCTCAAAGAATAATACTGGTATAAAACGTTGGGACAAAGGGGAATGTTTGCTAAAGCACTTACAACAGGATATCAAACTGAGTGACCCTCTGTCGATTCTAATCTTGGCATGGATTACATTAAGAGTCGGGTGTGTACAGAAGTAGAGCATTAAGTCCAAATTGGCAGCCTTTGAAGTTTGAACCATTGTCAGCTGTAGACAAGACGCCATTTATGAACACAATAGACGAGCCAACCTGGCCCGATGCTGTCACTGCTGTGATAAATTTGTTTGAAAAAAAGATTATAAGACAACAGTGATACATTGTACGTTGTTATTATGAACAATAATTAACTGAATATTAGGTGTAAAGTCTTAACAATGCCTCGTTGGAGATAAGATGTAACGCAGTGGGTCTACGTAATAATGCATCATGAAATAGGACTGTTAAGTAATTAAACCATGATGAAAACACTGCAACAGCTGGGTCATACAAGGCTGCAAGCAAATGCCTCGCACTTGTCGACCCCAATAGTCTGTATGTACCTTACCTTGTTTATGTTATGTGTTTATGTACAAAAAAAAAGAAAATCAATGTCAGATTTTTTAAACTTTTTAAATATTTGTCTGTATGGCCCTCAGAAATATTCTATCTGTCTGACTTAAGCTCTCATTCAATGCAAAGATGGTTTTGTCACTTCTGTGTTGGAAGCCTTTACATTATATCTAGTAAGCTTTGATGTCATCTTGGCACCAGGTTGTAGAGCCTGTGTGCATGTGATGCGTATCTAAACATGATGAAACAAAAACATAAAGTAGTTTACTGAAAAGGTTTTACATTAATTAAATGATATTCTAAGAATAGAACCTGGAATAAAAATTGCCTTCATCATAGGCCTGGATTTGCATCACTGCGAAGGTCTTGCCACCACAGACCATGTGTGTAACATTTCTCAGCGTTGCGACGTTCTGAATGGAAAGACGTCGTAAAGTCTGACCAAATGACTGAACAGGTTTCTTTCCTTCTCTTAAAAGCAGGATGGACTTGGGTTTGTGGTCTCACTAAATAACATTTTAATCATACAGGATGAAAAATAAAAATCACTCTGGTGAATTGTGGGTTGGAATGGAACTTTCAAAAATACGTGTCACTTAAACCATAGGGTTGTTTACTATAATAAATATAACTAGAAAATTCCTAAAGATTTCGGCGTGAAGAGAGCTAAAAAAACACTTAACTTTGGGCCCATATTGACTAGCCGTACATTAACGTAGAAACATGATTCAAAGTTTAAAACGTAGACAAAACGCTGCACTTTATTGAGCCAAAGGGACATTTTGATAGCTAGCACAGTTTTCATGAAGTCACAGATTAAGTTTCAGGAAAATTTTGGGTCTGTTTCAGATTTTATAATGGGTGTGTATTGCACGGCTCGTTAAGAGCTAGAGTGAGAGCATAACTGTCAGAGTGGAGCGGAGCTTGAAAATCTTCTGTGATTTTCCCAAACAAATTGCTCCAGCTCCCACAATTTTTACTCTTTATACACCATTTTGGCCAAAAAGCTTGGAAATGATGTGCTGGTCACAGTAAAGTGTCTATGGAATCCAACGGACTTACACATTTGGTTCAAAGAGCCGCAGAGCGACATGAACTCCAACCAACTGCTCCATTAGACTCCATGTTAAATCTCTGATCTGCCCCTTGGACGTGACAGATCATCAGGTCCTGCACCACAAGGCTCAGGGACAACATCAAGCGGTCCTGCACCACAAGGCTCGGGGACAGCTTCATCAGGTCCTGCACCACAAGGCTCGGGGACAGCATCATCAGGTCCTGCACCATAAGGCTCAGGGACAGCTTCATCAGGTCCTGCACCACAAGGCTCAGGGACAACATCAAGCGCTCCTGCACCACAAGGCTCGGGGACAGCTTCATCAGGTCCTGTACCACAAGGCTCAAGGGAGTGAACAGACTACCAGTGAACCTGTACCACTTGTTCTTTTTCTTTTCAGCGACCTTTCTCTGCGGATCCTCCAGCTGGGTCTTCACAGCGAGAAGGATGGCCTCCTTGCTCACCGACTCCTGCTCTTTCTTCTGCAGCGTCTGCTTGAGCTCCTCCGCGGCCCGAGTGAGGGGCGACTTGTCCTCCCTCCACTCTCGAAAACCCTCAAATTGCTGCTCGGCATTCCTCAGTGCAGCTGCAAAGTGGTCGACCTCCTCTTTCGATGGTTGAGCCGAGCCACACAGGAGTCTCTGTTCTCCTGCAGCAGGGAGGCTTTCTCCTCC